GCTTGGCAGGGTGCCCGGGCGCCATCTTGGGCACTCCCGCATGGGCCCGCTCTCCACATCAGGGGACTCCGAAGCCCTCTTCTGATCTCCGTGGCATTGCACAACATGGGTGCAGTCACATACATGCAGGCAATACACTCATACACATAAAATAAAAATAGTAAAATACTTTTTTAAAAAGTGGGGGGAGAAGAAAAATGTCAATGCATAAAATACACATTTTAAAAGTATTTTATTATGTTTATGTGTATGAGTGTATTGCCTGCATGTATGTAAATGCACCCGTGTCGTGCAATCCCTGAGGCGTTCAGAAGAGTCATCGAATCCCCTAGAACTGAAGTTATGGATGGTTGTTAACCACCACGTGGGTCCTGGGAACTGAACTCCTCTGTAGGAGCAATCAGTGCTCTTACCCACTAAGCCATCTCTCTGGTCCCAGTTTTTTTTTTTTTGGTCTTTTTATGACAGGTCCTCCCTGTAGTCCCAGCTGGCCTGGAACTCACTATGTAGACCAGGCTGGTCTTGAATTCACAGAGATTCACCTGCCTCTGCCTCCAGGGTGCTGGGATTAAAGGTGTGCTCCACCACACCTGGCCCCACTACTTTTTTTTTTTTTAAACTTAATAGTTGCCTTGTTGGCAAGACTTTTAAAACTTATTTAGGAACTTTCTTGAGGAAACTTGAGAGATCTGGAACTTTAATTGATAATCCAGACACAAATTTTTTTATGGATTTGAGCATGTCTTCTAATCTCCTGGTGTCATTGTTTCGCTTTTTCCTTTTATCTTCATATTGCCTTAAAGGCACCACTCCGTCTGTGAGAAATGTAAGGGGGCTAGTGATGCTGTATGTTGGAGGTGCTAGTACAGGCCTAGTTTTGTAGGTTCTAACTGTTTTAATTGGTATATTTTGGATTTGTGATGTTTTGTTTATTTTTCCCTCACTTGAAAAGTACATAATATTTTTTAACCTTGAGAAGTGGAGGAAAATCTATCTTACCCTTCTTTATCACATGACCAGCTGACCCAACTAGCTCAGACTTTCCTAAATGATTGACCTTTTGGAAAAGTCCAGTCATGGAAATTTTCTGTGCAAATAGACCTCAGGAAGCCCTGAGCAAGTGAAATGTAGTTAAAGTGGATTTTCTGCTGAGAACACATGAATTAATTACTGCTAATAATAGACCTTTTCCTGCAGGATTCCCTGTTGTGTATGAAATGATTATAATTTTAAGTGTTTTCTTACTTTAATAGCCAAATCTTTTATGGCTTCTTAAATGTGAAGTTACTTTCTGGCACTTGGGAGGCTACTCCCAAATACAGGGCCAGCTTGGACCATATAGTGAGACCCTGTCTGAAAAAACAAAACAGCAGAAAGAGTAGACATGACATCTAAGGATGCTATCGATGAAGAGTGTATCTGCTATAACTACTTTGTGTTAATTTCAAATTTCTCAAGAAATACAGCAGTTTACGTGATGGTTTCCTGGCGAATGTGTATAAGACTGTAACACAAGGAATTGAGAAGGGTATTCCTGTGGCTGGTGCTCACTCTGCCTCCTGTGTGGCACCTGTGGTGTGTCATGTGTCGTCATGACTTGCTCTCATAGTTGGCGGTCTTGCTGGATTGTCAGCTTTCCAAGGGCAGAGGCTATGTATGTCCACAATTCTGGGATGCTTTTCATAAAATGTGTCCCTAAGCATGTACAGAAGTCTTGTTCGACCTCTAGTAAACCAGGAAGGCAGCAGCACCACAGCGAGGCTGTGTGTTGCTGCTTTTCTTCCCACTGTTCTTTGTAACAGCATTCTAAAATTTGACAGTGGTGCTTTGATGTGGATCTTTTAAAGTTTGTGGCTCCTTGTAGAAACCCACCGTTTACTGCTAGATTCTCTTGTGTTGTTGACAACTCCCCCTATTTTCCCCTTTTCTAAAAGGTGTGTTAGTTGAATTGGTATAATGTTCAGAAGAGGGTATATTCTTGGGCAACAAGCTCTGCCTCAGTAGTAGAAGTCAGATACACATCTATTTCTTACTATTGCAACGTGCATGATGGGTTGGGCAGCACCCCGTTTCATAACTCAGCCCTCTGGCATATGTAGCCTTTAAGGGTGCTGTGGCAAGGGCAAAGAAAATGGATTTTCATTGTAGTTTCTCCATTTCAGGATGGAGCTTTAATCCTCAGTCCTGTCCATTGTGAGACTGGAATTCTGTAGTTTTCATTTTCTTCAAAGTGTAGTAGATCCGTCTGGATTGGAAATGGTGGGGACACATCCTATATTTTGAGGAAGGGAGGGATCTGAGGCCTGGTTGCTGCTAATGCAGACTTCTCAGCTGGTTGCAGCCTAATCCTCTCTTCCACCTTCAAATGTTCCTGGAAGTTAAATTTAATGAGCCTTTCTAGGGTTCTGTAATGCAAATTGGTTTGTTTCCCATTGTCCGGTCCACAGGCTCAAGTTTAGGAGATCAGAAAAAACCAAAACCAAATATTTGCTGCTTTTTTTTTTTTTTTGAGTCCGGCCCTCATGTAGGCAAGGATGGGTTTGAACTGCTCCTCCTGTCTCAACCTTTCAAGGGCTTAGATTGCCAGCACCTGTCAACATGGCTAAGTTGCTACTTTCTGGAAATTTTATTAATATTATGGGTACCTCTTCTCACTAATGCTGTGTAGTTTTAATTTAACTTATTTACCACTCGTGGTAGGAGTTTGGTAGGAAGTGGAGAATAAACGTGCATGTGCTCTTCATTCCTGTTGACTCTGCTCTGGGTTCTAGTCAGGACAAAGACATGCATGTGCTCTTCATGTTGACTCCACTCTAGGTCAGGACAAAGAAACTTCTTTTTAACATTTAGTTTATGTGTCTGACTGTTTGTCTTCATGTGCATGCAGGTGCCCATGGAGGCTAGATGATTGTGTGCTGCCATGTGGATACTAGGACCTGAACCCTAGTTCCTCTGCATGTGCAGCGAATCTCTTAACTTCTGAGCCATCTCTCTAGCTCCCTGGACAAGGAAACTTAAAGGATCTATTTTGGATCCAGTATTTTGAGACTTTGCATTAAGCCTGAGATTTGGATGTGGGTTTGTTTGGGTTATCTATATAGCAATTAAGAAATCACCCTAAAATATAATGACTTAAACAAGACAACTGTTTTGTTATAATTTCTCATAGTTCTGGGTGCAGCTGGGTACAGGTTGGTGGTTGTTGTTGGTCAGATTCTCTTGTAGTTGTAATCAGACAGTGGCTAAAACCATCTTAAAGGTTCCTCACTCCCAGGTCTGATGCTTAAGAACTCAGAAAGCTCAGGGCTGGGATGGATTCCTCAGGCATCTGTGTCTGTGTAGTCTTTCCATATAACCTCTGCAGCAGAGTGGCTTAAGCCAGCGTGGTGGTGCATGTCTTTGATCCCAGCACTTGGGAGGCAGAGACAGGCGGATTGGATCTCTGTGAGTTCCAGGCCAGCTGGGGCTTCAGGGAGAACCTGCCTCAAAAAGACAAAAAAAAAAAAAAA